AGCACACCTGGGAGAAAGAGAGGGAGAGAGAGAGAGAGAGAGAGAGGGAGAGACCAGGTTAGAAGTTTCAGTTGGCTTCTGGCACTAGGCTGGCTTTGACACCGTGTCAGGTGTTGTGGTCGACCTCTTTGTGTGTTGGGGGTGGGAGGTAATAAAAGATATTTATGAGACAAAATCACAAAGTAATAACGATAAACTGAGATTTATTTATTTCTTCCTCCCTCTCTCCTTCTTCCCTTTTTCCCCTTCCTTCCTTCCCTTTTCTCCCTTCCTTTCTCCTTCCTTCCTTCCCTTTCTCCTTTCCTCTCTCTTTCCTTTTTCCTCTTTCTTTTTTTCTTTTTCCTTTCTTTTTCTTTCCTTCTCTTCCTCTCTCCCTTCCTTCCCCTCTCTTCCCTTCCTTCCTTCCTTCCCTCTCTCCCTTCCTCCCTTCATTCTTTCTCTTTCTTTCTGTCTCTTTCTTTTTCCTTCCATCCTTCCCTCCTCTCTTCCTCCCTCCCTCCCTCTCTCCATTTCTCCCTCTCTCCCTCTTTTTTCCTTTCTTCTTTTTCTTTCCTTCCCTTCCTCTCTCCCTTCCTTCCCCTCTCTTCCCTCTTCCCTTCCTTCCCTTCTTCCTTCCTTCCTCTTTCTTCCCTTCCTTCCCTCTCTCTCTTCCTTCCTCCCTTCCTTCATTTCTCCCTCCCTCCCTCTCTTTCTTTCTGTTTCTTTTTCCTTCCCTCCCTCCCTTCCCTCCTCTCTCTTCCTCCCTCCCTTCCTCTCTCCATTTCTCCCTCTCTCCCTTCCTTCCTTCTTTCTCTCTCTCTTTGTTTTTCTCTTTCTTTCTTTTCCTTTCTTTCCTTTCCTTTCCCTTTCTTTCCTTTCCTTTCTTCTCCCTCCCCAGTTGCTACTGACTACGAGTAGCATACATACACCGCATTTACTGCAATCCCTTACTAGAAACCAACCCACCCCCCCCAGCTCTACAGCCTGCTCCAAAGCAACTGCTTGACCAGCTGCCTGCTTAATCCCTCTCCCCTTTCAACTGCCTGTAATCTGCCAACTTGTATTGTGGGCGCTTCCTTCAAGAGGATTATTTCCAGCAGCTTCCTTTCCCCTAAACGAAGATGCCGGATTCCAGAAAAGGGAGGCAGGAGGGTTAAGCGGGTGCCAACGGGAGGCCATGCCGCGTTTGATGTCTTTCTGTTCCTGGTACCTCCTCCGTTCAAAACAAGCCAGGCCGGTCAATCCCAGATATGAAGTCCTTTGACATTGACTTGCTCAAACAAGCTTTATCCCGGGTTCATGAGGCTATCGTGCAACATGCGGCTGCTTTAAAGAGGTACCAGCTGATGCAACGTGCACCCCCAAGCCTGCTCCCAAAACACCCAATCTCTGGGCTCAAGATACTAACTGTAAGGGGGAAGGAAGGTCACGGTTGGACAGTTTGGTCTAGTGGTTGAGGAACAGGTGACAAACGAGGAGATGTGGGGGCTACTCCCGCCTTAGAAACGAAAGCTGTCTGGGTGACTTTGGGCCGATCACCAGGAGATGGTGAGTTCTAGTCCTCCCTTAGGCATGAAAGCCGGCTGGTGGACTTTGGGCCAATCGCCAGGAGACAGGGAGTTCTAGTCCCGCCTTAGATCTGAAAGCCAGCTGGGTGACTTTGGGCCGATCACCAGGAGACAGGGAGTTCTAGTTCTGCCTTAGGCATGAAAGCCGGCTGGGTGACTCTGGGCCAATCGCCAGGAGATCGGGAGTTCTAGTTCTGCCTTAGAAATGAAAGCCAGCTGGGTGACTTTGGGCCAATCGCCAGGAGATGGTGAGTTCTAGCTCCTCTTGAGCATGAAAGCTGCTTAGGGGATTATGGGCCAATCACCAGGAGACAGTGAGTTCTAGTTCTGCATTAGGCATGAAAGCTGACTGGGTGACTTTGGGCCAATCACCAGAAGATGGTGAGTTCTAGTTCCGCCTTAGCCATGAAAGCTGACTGGGTGACTTTGGGCCAATCACCAGGAGACGGTGAGTTCTAGTTCCTCTTGAGCATGAAAGCTGCTTAGGGGATTATGGGCCAATCACCAGGAGACTGGGAGTTCTAGTCCCGCCTCATCCATAAAAGACGGCTGGGAGACTTTGAGTGAGTTACACTCTCTCAACCCAACCCACCTCTCAAGGCTGTTAACAGGGGAGGAATTCAGCCGGTTCAGGCCGGTTCACGCAAACTGGATGTTAAATTTACATCTGGTTCGCCGGAACGGGAGTTGAACCAACCTGCTGGCCCTGCCCACCCCTCCCCAGAGTCCCCACGTGGCCAGTTAAATGCAGGATCCGCGTGGAGGTTCTGGGAGGATGAAAAATGGCCCTCGTGGAAGTTCTAGAAGTCTGGAAACGGCCCTGTTTCCAGCTTCTAGGGGGCCTCTGGAAGCTGTTTTCACCCTCCCAGAGGCCCGAGGGAAGCCTCCGGACTCTGGGGAAGGTGAATAGCAGCCCTTCCGGAAGTTCCGGTAGGCCACGCCCACCATGGCCACACCCACCCAGCGGAGAACCGGTGGTTGATTTAGGAATCCCACCCTTTTCTGCTACTGTGGGGAAAATAGGAGGAGGAAGGTGGGTTGGATACATTCTCTGCTTTATTGGTCAAAATAATAAAGGTGAGATACAAACCATCCAGGAAGAATAAAGAAAAGGTGGAAATATTGTCCCATGCAGGTCTCGGGATAAAGCCATAATAAACCAAAAGCAGCCCAAAAAAGTCCATGCAATTCTAAGTTGCATTAACAGAGGGATACAATCGAGATCAAGGGAGTTACTAACACCACTCTATAAAGCCTTAGTAAGGCCACACCTAGAGTACTGCATCCAGTTTTGGTCACCACACTATAAAAAAGACATTGAGACTCTAGTAAAAAGTACAGAGAAGAACAACCAGGATGATGAGGGGACTGGAGACTAAAACATATGAAAAACCGTTGCAGGAACTGGGCCTGGCTAGTCTAGTGAAGAGAAGGACCAGGGGAGACAGGAGAGCAGTCTTCCAATATTTGAGGGGCTGCCGCAGAGAGTAGGGGATCAAGCTGTTTTCTAAAGCACCTGAAGGTCCGACAAGGAGTAATGGATGGAAACTGAACAAGGAAAGATTCAACCTGGAAATAAGGAGAAACTTTCAGACAGAACAATCAACCAAGGGAACAGAAGTTGTGGGAGCACCATCACTTCAGACCTTCGAGAAGATATTGGACTGCCATTTGTCAGAAATGGTGTAGGGTCCCCCACTTGGGCAGGGGGTTGGACTAGATGACCTACAAGTTCCCTTCTGTTATTCTATTCTAAATATAAAGAACGGTTGCAGGAACTGGGCCTGGCTGGTCTAGGGAAGAGAAGGACCAGGAGAGACAGGAGAGCAGCCTTCCAATATTTGAGGGGCTGCCACAGAGAGGAGGAAGGGGGTCAACCCATTTCCTAAAGCACCCGAAGGCCAGACAAGGAATAAAGGATGGAAACTGATCAAGGAGAGATTCAACCTGGAAATAAGGAGAAACTTTCTGACAGGGAGAACAACCAACTGATGGAACAGAAGTTGCCTTCAGAAGTTGTGGGAGCTTCATCACTGGAAACTTTCAAGAAGAGACTGGGCTCCCATGTGTCAGAAATGGTGTAGGGTCCCCCACTTGGGCAGGGGGTTGGACTAGATGACCTACAAGGCCCCTTCCAACTCTGATTAACTGTTATCTTGTAATGTAAACCAAGATTCTCCTCCTCTCCTTCAAAATGTTGCCCCCTGGTGGCTGCTTAGCTACTATGGCCGAAGAAGAAAACGCCTGCGGGAGGCTCACCTGCTTCTCGGTACTGTCCGAAGACCAGGTCAGCGTCGTCCAGAGCCGCGATGCTGCCTACATGGGTGCCTTCTTCTCCGTAGTTGGTCATATAAAAGGAAATTCGCCCCTGGGAATAAAAAGGAGGCCAGGACTGTGAATGCTGGCCCAGGGCTTCAGGTCCGAAGCCGAAAAGAGGCTAATAAAGGAGGATATTGGTATCTCAGGGTTGACCGGAAGGGTCCTTGATGTTTTGGGTGTTTTCTTGCAGATGTTTTGTTATCAAACTAGGTAACATCATCAGTGCTGGAAGGGAGTGGGATTTGCGGAGAGGAGGAGGAGGAGGAAGGAGGAGGAAGAAGAGGATTGTGGGTTCCTTGGTGCTCTCTGATCTTGCTTGTTTTCTTGCGGACGTTTCATTACCAAACTAGGTAACATCATCAGTGCTAGAAGGGAGTGGGGTTTGTCAGGGGAGAAGGAGGAGGAAGAGGAGGAGGAGGAAGAAAAGGAAGAGAAGGAGGACTGTGGGGTCCTTGGTGCTCTCTGACCTTGTTTTCTTGCAGATGTTCCTTTACCAAACTAGGTAACATTATCAGTGCTACAGGGGAGTGCTGTGTTTGTGGAGAGGAGGAGGAAGAGAAGGGGAAGAGGAGGAGGAGGAAGAAGAGGATTGTGGGGTCCTTGGTGCTCTCTGAGCTTGCTTGTTTTCTTGCAGACGTTTCATTACCCAGCCAGCTAACATCATCAGTGCCAGTAAGGGGTGCAGTTTGCCGTCGGTTTATATCCTGGCAGCCCCCTGGCCCCGTGCCAGGTAAGGCTTTCTAGGTGACACCTGATGCCTTGTCTTGGATCCGGATGCCAATGGTCACCCCATGGTGTTGGCACGAGGGGCCACCCAGAGATCCCCTGCCCTGACCCTCCCTCCCTCCCTTCCTGCCATCCTCTCACCTGTCTCTGGGACTCGTAGAGGATTCGATCCATGGTGTTGAGCAGCGTCATGCTCTTGTAGAATTTCAGCACTTCCTCCTGGGAAATCTGCAAAGGTAGGGAGGGCGGAAAGTGAAAAATCAGGTTTTTGGCATTGTTTTTTTTGGGGGGGGGGGTAGGTAAGGTGGGGGCAGAAGCCTAGATCAGGGGTCTCCAACCGTGTCAACTTAAGACTTGTGGACTTCAACTCCCACCATTCCTCCTCCAGGCATGTTAGCTCAGGAATTCTGGGAGTTGAAGTCCACAAGCCTTAAACTTGCCTGTTTGGGTGGAGGGTTGGACGAGATCAGGGGTCTCCAACCTTGGCAACTTAAGACTTGTGGACTTCAACTCCCAGAATTCCTCTGACTGAGGAATTCTGGGAATTGAAGTCCACAAGTCCCGTCAAGTTTCCAAGGTTGGAGACCTCTGATCTAGATCTATGGAAGAAAGGCAGGGCCTGCAAAGCGTGGGCGTGACCAAAGGCTGGCTGAGGAATTCTGGGAGTTGAAGGCCACAAGTCTCCAAGCTTTGCTGGCTGAGGAATTCTGGGAGTTGAAGGCCACAAGTCTCCAAGCTTTGCTGGCTGAGGAATTCTGGGAGTTGAAGTCTACAAATCTCAAAGCTTTGCTGGCTGAGGAATTCTGGGAGTTCCTCAGCCAGCAAAGCTTTAAGAGTTGAATTCTGGGAGTTGGAAGTTCACAGGTCTTCAAGTTGCCAAGGTTGGGGACCCCTGGCCTAAATCTCACCTGGGGATCCTCACTGGGGTTGACAATCTGCCCCTGCCGGTCCATGACCCGGTAAATGGGGATCCCCGAAATGATGTTGGGTTGGATGAATTCCAGCTTGTCGATATACTCAGCCGAGGCTCCGGGGAACTGAGGTTTCTCCTCCAGGGAGGTGAATTCCTGCTGCCAAAGACTCCCCTGGGGAAAGAGCAGAAATAAGTGTATAACAGATAATCAGAGTTGGAAGGGACCTTGTAGGTCATCTAGTCCAACCCCCCCCCCCCAGCAGGAGATCCTACACCATTTCTGACACATGGGAGCCCAGTCTCTTCTTGAAAGCCTCCAGGGATGAAGCTCCCACAACTTCTAAAGGCAACTTCTGTTCCATGGGTTGATTGTTCTCATTGTCAGAAAATTTTTCCTTATTTCTAGGGCGAGCAGAGCTGCCCCACGGCTGGCTTGGGAGGGCAACCCACCGATCAGATTTACTGGGAGTCCTCGACCTTACGACTACTCGCTTAGTGGCTGCCTGGGGAATTCTGGGAGTTGTAAGTACCACACATATATATCTTCAAGGTGTCAAGGCTGAGAGACACAGCAGCTTTGAGCTGTGACAGAATGAAGGAAGTTAGCTTTTATTTTTTATTTTTTTTATTCTAACTGGTTCAGTAAAGATCTTTTGAGTGAAGTTCAACAGGTGGTGATGGCACCCCATACGTGCCATAACCAGATCAGTCTGTGCTTGGATTTTTGAAAGATTAATCAGGATTGGATAGGAAATAGATAGAAAAGGGAGGAAGCGAAGGAAGGAAGGGAAAGGAAGCAAAATGGGAAGAAAGAAGGGAGGGAGGGAGGGAGAGAGAAAGCAAGCGAAAGAAAGAAAGAAAGAAAGAAAGAAAGAAAGAAAGAAAGAAAGAAAGAAAGAAA